AACTACTTGTAAAAGCTCCAAACATTTTTCTGTCACCACTTGCAGGCTGGCGCTGGCTCACATGACAGTGACTGAGCCAATTACTGCTATAACAATTGAGATGATAGGGCTGGGGAGATAGCTCAGTAGAATAAGCGCCCACCCGGCAAGTACAAGCCTCTGAGTTCAAGCCCCGGTACTCCAAAAAAAAGAAAGAAAAAGAACTGAGATGATGGTTAGTTCAGCCAATCAGAATCTCGCCTTGTAACCTAGGTGGGAAGGGTATATGCTGAAATCAAATAAGCACTCTTTTAATAGAAAGTAAATATAAATATTGGAAATCACCAGTCTCAGCTCAGCTTTTCTGTTAGAATTGTTCTGTAGCAAATTCAGGGATGTTAAATCACATAAGGTCCTGTAAAAATAGGGAGAGGATTCAGATCCGGATCTTATGCACTCCGAAGCCTCTGTGTGTCTTTTTGCTGCACCGCTGGGCCCGGGATCAGAAAATAAAAGCTGGTGCTGACTTCAGGAGCTGAGGCACTCTCCCAGCTGCCCCAGCCCGGCCTTCCCTCAAGCGAGCGTCTCAGCGGTTTATTAAGTCATGGCTGACAGTGCTGAGGCACCGAGGGCTGCACATTCCGACCCACTTCTGGACTGCTGGAGGATGTTCGGAATAAGCAGCATATTCAAATTTTGTGCTGAGGAAATTCAGCCGCAGCCCTTTTGTCTTTCTGAGCACAGGGATTGCTGAGGGCTTGTGCTGGGCCATGCTCTGGTTTAATAAAAAATGAAGCCTCCAAACCAAGCAGACTTGTTTTGGGAAAGTGGCGCTAATAGAGCCCCATGGGGCGGGGCCAGGCCTGCACAGGGCCGTTTGCATATTCAGTTTTACAAACAGTTGGCTCGGAGTCAGCAGCTAATGGAACCAGAATGGTGTTCCTGTACCGAGTCATTTCCTGCAAAAACATTTCCAATTGCAAACCTATCTCAGCCTTTCTTCTTGGGTTTGTTATGTCTCTGTGAGTGAATTCAAGAGGCAGGGCAGAGGGAGGGTTTCTGACTAGAGTTTTTCATCTGAGAACATTTTCAACAATGATGTCCATGTAAAAGGAGATTCCGTTCAGATCCACCTTTAGGAGTCCTGGCTGTGAACATTGCTTTTCTAGCCACAAGTACAAGATGCTTAAATACTTTTTTTTAAATATATATGTGCAAATTGGTTCTGGCTGTCCGACACATCTTGGGCAAGATGTAGCTTTTCTTCTCTTACAAAATGTACGCTGGACGTGCTGCCCCAGATACGGGCATGTATGAGGGTGAGTCTAAAAAGTAAATATAGTTTTCCCCCTGGGGACAAGCTGAAATCCTTTCCATCCTGTAAACCATTTTGGCAAGTTCTGCCTCCGCATGTAAGAGTGCAGATAGAGTGGTCGTCTTAACATTCTGCTTATTTATTCAGCAAATATTTCTTGGGTGCACACTATGCTCAAGGTGTTGTTTTCAGTAATCATAGTAAATTGTAATAACGGCAGCATACATTTACATAGCTCTGACCGGGCACTTTTCTGAATTCATAGGTTAACTTGCTTGCTTAGTCTTCCAGCAACCCTAGGAGGTTGGTGATGTTATTATCGTTCCCATTTATGAAGGTGAGGAAACTAAGGCACAGGAAGCTGGTGGATTTGCCCAGGATCACATGGCTAATAGTGGCAGACACTGGATTTGAATCTAGGCTATTTGGGTCCTAACCTCTGTACCATCTGGCCTCTCTGGGATCTAATAATGAATAGAAGATAGAAAGTAGCAGTCCTCCCAGCACTTGGGAGGCTGAGGCAGGAGGAATTATCACAAGTTCAAGGCCAGTCTGGGCTACGTAGTGAGCTCAAGACCAGGCTGTACTGCATAGCAAGACCCTGTCTGAAAAGACCAAAAAACAGTACCAGTCCTAGCCCAGCTTATCTTGGAGGGGGTAGATAACAGGCACAGCAATAATATTTCAAATTGTGATGAGGGCCAGCGAGATAGCTCAGCAGACTAAGCACCTGCTCTGGCAAGCGCAGAGACCACGGTTTGATCCCCCGCACCAAATGCTGTGACAGCCCCGCTCCCAGGTGTGCTGAGCCAGCCACCAAGACTAGGCATGGTAGCACACACCTGTAATCCCAGTGCTGGGGAGGCTGAAAACAGGAGGATCACTATGAGTCCGAGCTGCGTAGTGAGACCCTGTACCAAATACATAAATCAAATTGTGATGAGTCCTACCAAGAAAATAAAACAGGGAGACAGAGGGCTAACCCGAGGGTCTTATAAGTCACAGTATGGAGTTAGGGTTTATTCTGAGTGTGACGAATAGCCACAGGAAAGGTGGAAGCAGGGCAAGGTGCGATTCTGTTTGCACGTTATTCACACTTTGCCAAGTAGGTAGGGAAATGCAAGAGAAAGTAGCAGGCCCCAGAGATGGTGGCGCTGGTGGTGCTGGTGGAAGAGAATGGTGATTTGAACCAAGCTGTGGTCAGGAGATGGTAGAAGTGGTCAGGACCTGGTTTGGAGGAAGAACCTAGAAGACTTGCCAATATCATGTGCAAAAGGTCAGGGAAAAAGGAGAACTTGGTGATGCTTTGGATTTTTGGCTTGAACCGTTGTACAAGTGGTGGTCCCATCTAGGATAGGAGTGGGAGAGAATAAGTCTTTTTTTAGCAGTATGAGGGTGTTGGAAATCACAGGTTCTGTTTTAAGAGCTTCATTAATAGACTTACCCGAAAGGCACCGAGTGAGCGGTTCAGATGCGTAAGCCTGGAGCCCAGGGTCAGGTCTAGGCTGGAGTTTTATGCGTGGGCATCCTCGGCATTTAGATAAATGGCATTCCGTACCATCCAATTGAACTTCCTATGCCATGGGATGTGCTCCATGCCTGTCCTATCTGGGACAGTAGGCACTGACACACACAGGCCACTGGGCACTTAAATTGGGGAACCAAAGATCTGTTTCACTGAAAGGTAAGTGGCACAAATAGCTAGTGGCTCCTGTACAAGACAGCAGAGACCTACAGGTAAGAGAAAGTCTGGAACAGCCACAAGTATCTTCCCTAGCTGGAAGCTGAGGCTTGCACTCATATGTGAGATAATTTCATTTGTGCTGCCCACTGCGTGTGCAGTTGTGTGTCCTGGGCATGGTGGTCCATCCATCCTTGTAATCCCAGCAACTCCGGGGACTTAGGCAGAGGGATCACAAGTTTGAATCCAGCCTGGGAAACTTAGTGAGACCCTGTCTCCTAAAAAAAATAGTTGTATCTTTTTATGAGAAATAGCTGGTGGAAAAGTAATCTATTAGGCTGCAAGGACATATTAGAAGAAATCATAAGACCATAAGGAAGCAGGTGTAGTCAGCTAGAAAATAAATGCAATCTAAGGGGCCAGGAAGATGGCTCAGTGGAATAACCGCTTCCCTGGCAAGCGCAAGGGCCTGAGTTCAATCCCCGGTTCCACAAAAAAAAAAAAAAAATGCAATCTCTTCCTTCCAAAATCATTGAAACTTTGAAGTTGCAACCCATTATCTTTCTCTTGTGTTTTGTGGACAAGAATTCTACTGAAGGCTGGCTGGCTATGGATCTGGAGATCGGAGGCAGTCGCTGGGTGACGTCCACGTGCTGGGCCAGGGCCTGCTAAGGGAGTGAACCCCAGCGCTTGCTTTCCCGCTCCATCAGACAGGCTCATTCCCTATCCAACTGCAGCTATCAGTGAGTCTGCCGACTTGAAAGAACTCTTTGTAACTGGCTGCCTGTTGCTTAAGAGTTCTTGCAAACCTATGCTGGCAGTCAGGGAGGCCAGAGTCAATAAAAAGAAAAAAAAATTAAATAGAAAGATGGCCCATTGCTTTTATTAAGGTTGGTGGCAGCTCCTGTGTTAGCTCCTTAAGAACCTCTTAGTGACCAACACCTTCAGCAAAAATGGTCTTTCTATGCTTAATTGGTGAAAAGTAAGAGGCTGTGAGTTGGCTCCCAGGCAGGGTCATCCGAGGTCGGCAAACATGCAGCGGGTGCCCGTCCCACAGTAGGGTGGGTGGTGGGGATTTTTTTCCCAGGGCTCCTTGCAGGGGGTGGAGGGTGCTCATGGAAGAGCAGGTTGCCAGTCTTGAGTGGTCCTTAACCCCTTTCAGTACTGTTCAGCAAAACAGAATTGTAAATTTCTAGGATTTGAAAAGTGGATGCTGGTCATCCCGGGAGAACACTTCATTTTCAGCAGGAGAAACAGACTTGGAGAGGTAACCTTGCCTGGCCCTGGGGTCCCACAACCATGAGAGCTCACCAGCCCAGCCCAGAGCCCAGAGAAAGATCAGGACAGAGAGGTCCTGATGCAATCTGTGGTATGGAGGCTGCAGGGAGGCCAGGAAAGCCAGAACAGAGCTACAGTCCAGGGAGGGTGGCCTGAGGTGACAAGGTTCACATTAGACCCAGCCTGGAAGGAGGCATGGGCAGCAGGCGGGGCCCTCGCAGCCAACATGATGCCCACCTTGCTTCTGTTCACCCTGAGATCTTTGCTGAGGGGAGGTGCCTTTCTATAAAGGGGAGGCCTCTGTGTACCCTTTTTTTTTTCTGCTCTGGGGATTATTGTATCAAGGCCAGAAATGGAGTCCCGTCTGCAGTGCAGATTTTTTATTTTGAGATGGGGCTTACCAAGTCACTAAATTACCTAGGCTGAGCTCCAACTTGAGACCCTTCTCCCACGGCCTCCGGAGTGCTGGGATTATAGGCCTGTGGCACCAGGCCCAGCGAGACCTTCTCATTTTCATTCCCTGGAAAGCCAGGGAAATGACCTGCGGAAGAGGTGAGATGAAGGGAATAATTAGATCCTTTCAGCCGGGCGAAGCCATAGATCGATTGCTGGCTGAGTAACAGCTGTAATCTAACCCTGATGAGGCTTTTCCTCCATTTCAGTGTCAAACACAAGTGCTACCCAGATAAGATGTGAGCCCCCTGTGGTCAGCCGCCTCAAAGTGACCAGTTCTTCCTTCTCTTTCAGTCTCAGAGCTTCAGGAAGAGGGCATGAACGCCATCAACCTGCCCCTCAGCCCCATCCCCTTTGAGCTGGACCCGGAGGACACCATGCTGGGTAATGGCCTCCTGCCCCTTTGCCCGAGTTTAACACCTCCCCGCGCAGCCGCTCCACTCACTGCTTTTTCTTTTTTAAAGAGGAGAATGAAGTGCGGACGATGGTGGATCCAAACTCACGCAGTGACCCTAAACTCCAAGAACTGATGAAGGTGAGGAGCTGGGGGAGGCAGCCCGGGTGTCCCCACTCAGCAGGTGTCTGTGGAGCTGCTGCAGTCACAGCAGTGCCTCCCTCGGGCAGCTCAGGGTCTGCAGTTGCCCTCTGACCTGACCAGTGCCCCTTGGACAGTGTTGGGCATAAGCACCAGAGAAGTCAGGACCAAGGAGTTCACATTGGCAGGACCTGAGCCCATGAGGACATGTAGCCTCAGGCTCCTCAGAGGAAGTAGATAAATAGCCCTGTTTCCTGCCTATATCTGGGCCTTACCCTAGAGTCCAAGTCCTAGAAAGAAGGTGGCCATGGGTCGCGCAGATGATGGCTTAGAGGTCTAAGTGCCTGCATAGGCAAACACAGGGACCCGGATTCAGTCCCCGGCACCACACGCCTGAGCTGGCCCAGCCCTTGGTGCACCAAGCAGGCCATCAGGACCTCGCATGGTGGTGTATGCCTTTAATCCCAGCACTGGGGAGGCTGAAACAGGAGGGTCACTCTGAGTCCAAGCTGCGTGCTCCATCCTGTAGGGAGACAGGGCTCCTGCATCAACTCTGAGAGAGATGGAACCATTCTGGGTCCAGGTTGTGTTTCCGGGGTACCACAAAGTGAGCAGCTTCTCCTCCCCTGAGCCCTCTGCCAAAGCAAAATGCTCCTCCTTTAAGTTGCAGCTGTTGATATTGTGTCTCAGAGATAAGGAACATGACGAAGATGATTTGGTTCTATATAAATACTTAGCAAAAAAGAAAGGAAAATTTAAAAAGCAGTATACAAGTGAAAAATGGGCTGGTGATACGTGCATCCCAAGGATGGTGTTTGCGGTGACAGAGCATCTGCCTGGCACATGCAGGTCTCGGCCAGTGACAGCTGCTGAGGGCCTGGAGGCCAGGGATCTCTGCCGTCTGCAGCTGTGAGCTCTGTGAGCTCGGCTGAGCCTATTTCCTCCCACGGTGACCAGTCATCCCTAGGATGGGGGACCCCTCGTCGACTGTCCTGAGGGGAGGGTGCTTCACACAGGAATCGGACTGCTTTTAATCCACTGTCACTGGGTGACTCTTCTGCACCATCTAACATGGGAGATACTCGCATAGTGTTTTGGAGATAGGGAAGCCGAGGCTCAGATTCGTAGCTCACGGGGCTACACAGGCACAAGGTCATAGGTGACAAACAGGTGCCCACACCAAAGGTCACAGAGGAGTGGACACACACTCCTAGATGCCAGAGGCACACACACACACAATCAGTGAAGTGGCACACAGAGCCGCGCCGTCGTAGAGCTGGGTTTCAACCCGTCTGTGTAACACCAGAGCCCACCTGCCCTGAGACCGCTGTTTGCTGTTAGGGAAACAGTGATGGGGCCAGAAGAGATCAGCAGAGATGCTGATACTGCCAGCCCCAAGGGCTGATGCCCAGAGCACACAGCACTTCCAGACTCCTACTGGCACCTGCCTGCCTGTGGCACTGGGTGCTGTGGGTCACTCTGCTGTCTTTATGGGCAGATCATTTAGATTACAAAAGCTGGTCTGTGTGAAAACACCCCATGCCTCTTCTCTTGTCCTCTCTCTGTAGGTGTTAATTGACTGGGTTAATGATGTGCTGGTCGGAGAGAGAATCATCGTGAAGGACCTGGCCGAAGATTTATACGACGGACAAGTGCTGCAGAAGCTCTTTGGTAGGAGCGCGTCGAGCATGGCCAGGTGGCCGCCGGGTCCCCGCGAGGCGGGTGCTGCGTTCCCCTGGAGGGCCTTGCAGCCGTGGCCTCTCTAGGTGTATCTACATGGGGAGGGCGTGATTTTAGACTCTCATTCATGGGTACATATGCCTGTGTCCTGTGACCCGTGGCTGTGTGTGCATGGCTGTCTTCTCTGTGGACTGAGTGCATACGTTCTTCTGTGATCTACAGACGTGTGTGTGTGTCCTTCTGGGATTCTTGTATGTATAGGAGTGTGTATTCCTCTGTGACTTATGGTCCTGTGTGTGTGTCCCTCTCGCTTATGGATCTGTGTATATATGTTCCTGTGATCTGTGTGTGTGTGGCCCTCTGTGACCTATGGGTGTGTGTATGTGCCTGTGCGTGTGTCCTGTGGGCCTGTGTGTTTCTGTATCATCTGTGGACATGTGCACGTCTGTTCCTTGATGGTCTGTGGACCTGTGTGTGTCCCCCTCTGTGTGGGTGACAGTATGTGTGGGTATGTACCTCTGCTGTTCAGGTCGACGTGTGTCTCCACTGTGCATCTCCGCTGTGCAGGTGAGTACGTACACTGGTGTTGCTTCCCAGCTGTTCATGTGGAAATGAGCATGGGAGAGGGGCTGGAAGGGAGAATTCAGGCGCGACCTCTATGTGCAAAGCACGAATCCACCTTGAGTGAATGGGGTTTCCTCACCAGGCCTCGTTTTATCCCTGCCCCAGATGCCCTCCCACCCAGGCCCTAGGCTCCGGGTCTAGCTGCCAGCTAGCTACCTCCCCTGGCCTCCCAACTGAGTTCATCTTCTCCTCCAAAGGTACCTCTTTTCTCTCCATGACAGTCTGGTCTCATGCATCGTGTGTCGGAAGGCCTGTTTCTGCTTGCTCAGAATCTCTCCTCATCCAGCCTGTGCAGTGCCACTCTCTGGGTTGCCTCTGTCGCATCTGCTGAAGAAGCTTCCCACTTCCCCCTCATCCTAGTCCTTCTGCTCTGTTGCCTCTGCAGCCGGCTAAGGAGCCTTCGACATCTCAGGCGCAGTCTCTCCAGTCCTACCTGAGAGCTGCCAGTGGCTGTCCCCCCAGCACACTCCCAGACACCTTAGCATAGCATTCCGAGCCTTTCGCTGTTCTAACGCTGGCTGTGTGCAGCCTCACCACTGGCTGCTCCTGGCCTGCAGCTCTCACCATGCGGCCGTGGATAGAAAGCCCTCAGAACAGCACCCGCCGCCTAGCAAATGTCAGTGAGTGTCTGGACCCACTGTGGTTGGTTTTACTATCCAATCCTCCACCGCTGCATTATAAGTACCCCGTGCACAGTCATACCCTGATACTCGCCATGCTCTTCTTTCTGCCTCTGCTACCTTTCCTCCTTTATCTCCTTGGGGAATCATTATTGCTCATCCACCCAATCTTATCTCTGCCCCTTGGACCCAGGACAGTCACATCCAGAAAGACAGCTAAGTGCTTTTCTATGCTCACCCTCCTCATATATGTATCTGAGGGAGTACACAGCCTACACATGTGCATGGTATGTGCAGGTCTAGGTGTACACACACACACACACATGCAGGGTGAACACCTCTAATATGAGAATCCAGCGTGCTCCAAATGCTGCCACAAGTGGAAAATTCCACACACCTGAGCCTATGTGATGAGTTACACTCAAAACATAGGCGCACTGGATTAAAGCGCCTGCAAGCAAGCGCAGGGGCCAGGGGTTCGATCCCTGGGCCTGCCTTCCTGGCCCCACTCCCAGGGCGCGCTAAGATGGCAAATGAGACTGGGCATGGTGGCTCGAGCCTGTAATCCCAGCTCTTGGGAAGTGTAAACAGGCGGATCACTACGAGTCCTATCTAGTAGTGAGACCCTGAACACCTGTAGACCCTTCTCTAAAATACAGAAAAAAAGAAAAAAATATAGGGGCACCAAAAATATTTTTTAAAGTTCCTTTTCAGGCTGTGTAAGTACCCCAAGGCCTGTGAAGCGTACATGAGTTCTGGGTTTAGACCTGACGGCCAGCCTTGAGGTAGTTGTATATGTGTATATGTGTGCGTATGTGGGTGAATAGGCAGACAGACCCAAATCTGAAGACGTTCTGAAATTTGAGGCTCTTCCAGTCCTGCACATTTTGGATGAGGGGTTCGTGACCAGTACAAGTACAGATCTGCACACATACACATGTAGTACATGGTCATGCCTGTCAGGCTTCGCATGTTGTTTATAGCCGTTTCTGTAAATGCACACGGGCTCCCAAGGTTCCGAGCCCTGTATTTATTTATCCAGGCTTCTCTAGCACTAAATCAATGTATATCGAATGGGTGAATGAATGGCTCATATAAAAATCTCGTAACTTCTAGGAAGCTAAGCTGATTTGAGACTCAAACATCAATCTTAATGAGTATTAATATTTAAATGTCGTAAACTGAATACAGAATGGAAATGAAGAGCCTTTGGCGCATGGAGGGGTGAGAAGCCACGAGCCTCATGGAGTCTCTCCCGGTGATGCAGCTCTCGACCCCTCCAGCAAACCTCTCATCGGGATCTGAAACTATCTGGACATATTCTGTGCTAGGCTTTCAGAGCAAGAGTAGTGCAAGGCCCCAGAGTAAGGGGACACAGTCCCGAAGTCACCTCGCCTCCAGGAAGGGGGACAAAGCAGCCCAGTAACACTTCAGTGTGGCCCCCAGCCAGCTGTCACTTATAATCAGATTAAGGTTATTTCAGACTTCAGCTTTTATGTCAAAAAGGTGATTCGCTGCAGAAGTCATGGTTTTCCTGGGAACTTAAATTTGGATCTGTAAGGATGGCCATATGCATTCGAAACCTGTAGCTGGGATTCCCAGAAAGAAAAAAGTGGTGTGCAGGAAAAAGCGTACATGAGGAGCTCCTGGGAGGGACCAGCCTGGAGACAGAGATTTGAATGTCCCCTGGGATCTTGAAGTCCCTCCAGCCATGGCAGTGTCTTCCTTCTTCTGTAGCCAAGCTTCTCAAAAGAGCGCTTTGCGCTCCCTGTGTCTGCCCCATCCCTCCACTGACTTCTCTGGTCAAGATCAGCAGCGCCAGTTCCGGCTTCCTCTCGGAGTGCAATCGTCCCCTTGCCCAGCCAGGCCTTCTCTGGGCTTCCTCCTGTCCTCATTCTCATCCACTTCCCCACTCGCTTCTCCACACACTCTTCCTCTCCCCTCTCCTTCATTCCTCCTGTTGTTAATCACAAGCTCTGGCCTACAGAAAGTGCCTCAGGTCCACCCCACTTGCCGACCAACCAGTCCATAAAACTCTGAAAAACGTGCCTGGAACCTTATGTGCTCGGTTCATTGTTAGTCTCCTGCCCTTGCTATGAGCCTCAATGCACAGAACTTCCCATTTTTCTTAGCTGCTCTGGCTCCAAAATCCTTTTCTACTTCCTGCCTTGGTCATATTCTGGAGCTCTTCCAGACTGTGGTACCAGTATCTGGACTAAGGGATTAAGCTTAGAACAATGTCCGTCTGCATTACAGACTTCCTTTGGGTTTTACCAGCCTTTAATGTGATGTCTTGTTTTGACTCTAAAATCTAATCCAGGATCTCATGTATTCATCATCAAGTCTCCTTTGTGCCCTTCACTTCATAGCAGTTCCTTAATCTTTCCATGTATTTTATGAGTGTAGTACGTAAGAGTGTTGGTCAGTTATTTTGTAGAATATCCCTAAATCTGGACTTCCCTGATGTTCTCATGACTAGATTAAGATTATATACTGACGGGAGGAATTTCGCAAGAGTGAAATTCCCTCTGCTGTGTATCATATCTGGAACCACAGTTTGAGAGTTGGCCGTACAGGAAATAAAAACCTCCGAACTGCATTACTGCAGTGACTGAGCAGGACAGAGCCTTAGGCTGGCACTGGGAGCTGCCGTTGTGCTGGGGGCTGGCTGCAGGTGGATGCAGGGGGCCAGCACCGGGAAGGGGTGTCACCACCATCCAGAGGAACTGGAGGGTACAGCAGCCTCCGCTGTGGCAGTTGCTTCTCCGGACACACTGCTCATGGTCATTGCCAGCAAGTCGCCAGATTTGGCCCATCCATATGCCACTCATCCAATCCGTGTCATAGGAACAACTCTAGCCCTCTCCACGCCTCAGAGGGAGAGTCCCCAAAAACACAGAATGAGGAGAAAGTGCCTCCTCCCCTTGCCAAAGAGTCACCCCTATTCTTGTCCCAGACTTACCAATTTCTGGGGCAACTGATAGAGGCCACAGCCTCGGTTCCTCTAGAGGCTGCTGTCACCCCGTGGTGCCTACCAGAAAGTCACAGAATCTTCCCAAGTTAGGACACTTTTCCAAGCATCCAGTTACACAGTTAATCCCGTCCGTGGTGACCTGTGATACTTGCATCCCTAAGACCTAGGTGACCTAAGCAAAAAATGTGATGGAGAATGTTACAGAGACAAATATCACAAAAAATGTGATGGAGTCAATGGAGATACCGATTTCAGGGAAACGTCTACACAGCACAGTGAATCAGTTCATTTGACCCTGAGCCACCGCCTGTTCCTTATCAAGGTGTCCTAACTTAGAATGGCAGTGAGTTTTTTTTATGGTGCATTTGACTTCATGGAGGCTTATCTTTGAGTACAGGCCTGTACTGGGGGACAGATGAGGCCGACTTGGAGGGATGAGAGTGCTGAATCTACAGTGTTCTTCCTTCTGGGTTTCACCGTAACATATTGTTACAGGCAGCCAAAGTAGATAAAAATATTACAGGCAGTCAGACAGGTCCAGGCCCTTGAAGGAGATAACACAAAGGACAAGATACCTTACAACTGTGAGAGGGACGGATGCTCCTGCTGTGAGCCAGACCTAAAGACCAGAGATCAAACAAATGCTAAGCTCCCTAAAGATTAGCATCTAGGATTGATCTTCACCCTGAGAAAGCCTGAAGAATCATTCTCTGGTGGCTACCAGATAAAGTCCTGTTTTACGTTCATACCCACTTGCTACATGACTTGCTTCC